GCGGAGTCGCAGGTGCAGTTGCAGACGACTCTCTCCGCCCAGGCGGTCTACTGACAAAGATCCCATACTTCCGAGGCGGAGGTTCCGGTGGTACAGTTGGTGGAAATGACGGTTCGAGAATCTTAAATTAATATTAACAAATAGCAAAATTAACAAATGTTCGTAATATTTTTCAGCAATCAGTTATTAATTTCTTTTATTAATATTTTCATTTAATATTGTTTGTTTTTTTTTATTGTTCTTTAATGTTCTAAAATATGTTCATAACAAGTAATAATTTAATTTACCTTGAATTTCTCGAACGAAGTCGTGACTCTTTCGAATTCTTTTGGACATTCGCCCTCGATAGCATTGGCTGAGCTAAGGAATTTGTCCGGATATTTGTACTAAAAACCATCTACGATTTAATAACAATTACTGAAGCTGGTAAAAACGATTAACAACAGAATAGACATCGAAAGACGACCATTACTTTTTCAACAACTTTTTCCAATTCAGTAATTTTATTGGATGTTGTAATTAATTCTGTGCTAAGCCTGTTCACCTGAATAATAATTCGATAGTTATGATTAAACATTAAACATTTTTTTTATGCATACACGATTCACTTTTAAACTTACTTCATCTTCTAAGTATTTTGTAGTCTCTTTTTGAGCATCTGTCTATAAAGTAAATGCCTTTAATAATTACATATAGATATTATCATAAAAATAAAAAGGAAAAATATATTGAAATATTGCTAACTGTTTTTACGATTGCATCCTCGAATTCCGCCTTCTTGTTTTTTAACAAAACCAATCTGTCTAATTTCTAAAAAGAATTCTTGATAAAAAGAGTGCATAAATATGACAATATTGATTATAACTATGTAAAAAGAAAATCGATCTTGAATGAGTATATAAATTTTATAAATAAAATAGAACTGACCATCTTGTTTTCTGCAACTATTGTTGACATCTCCCGATTTGATCTTTCAATTCGCTTTATTATCTTGGAAACAATTGTATAAAAAATATATCAAAATTAATTAGAAGTTTAGAAAGAATCAGAACATTATTTTTTTCATACAAAATATATGTATATATTAACTTTGAATTACTTACACTCACATTAGTTTTTAAATTTATTTTAAAGTATAATTAATTGATATTCATAGGACGAGTAAAAAGTATGGAATAGTAAGATTGAGAAAAATGTATATTAATTATATATCTTGTTTCTTGCTTTTGTAATCATAATTTATTATGCGGACTACTTACGTTATTAGCATACCATAGTGCTATGTAGAACAAAATATACATCAAGATACACACATAAAAGTTATCCAAAACGTATACTCGTATAAATGACTGCAAATATAAATAGTGATAGAAAAAAATTATCGAAAGCAATTATCATGATAAAATTATTTAGTTTTAACACTGATTTAAGGAGGTTACCTGACGATCATAAATATCAATAAACTTCAAAATTGGATGTGATCTCGATAGTTGGGAGACATAGCACGATCTTTGCGAGAACATTCTCGAGAGCGCAATCCATTAGCAAAGTAAAGAGTTACAAAAATCGGAGAAACTCAAGCACACCAACAAACGTGAAAATCGAGCGATAAGACGTGGAACGAGAATTTCCGGACGATTTGACAGCATCGTGTGAACGTGTCTCATTTATATCCGCCATTCGAGTTAATAGTGGAATGTCGCAGAAAGCTGTGCCAAACTTCGTGGAACAAAACGCTCTTCATCAAAAACTTTATTAACAAATACTGTGGCACGATGAGTACTTCTTAATAAGAATTGCTTAAATTTTTAAAAAAAGTCATACTAATAAAGCTACCATTCTAAAACATTCTCAATTTAAATCTTTTGACACTTTGCATTTAAAGGCTTTCAAATTGCGATATTTTATGCATTAGTATCGTAGCTTCTGAAAAGCTTCCTTGTCGGGATATTATCTCCCCCGCGTGGGCTCGTATAATAACACCTCGCGGGATCGCGATAATGTAATCTCCTTCATATAAACATAATTAAGGCGCGAAAGCGCATGTTGAAGCAGGTGACTTCATATAGCCGCAGAGGTTTATCGATTGCAGAGGTTGCAACACGAGTGGTACGAATAATTCCCGCGATAAGAGAGAGTAATTTCGATAAGTGATAGGAAGTGCGACAGCGCAGAGAACGCATAGGGGTCATAATTATCCTTATCATTGTCATAATCTGCTATTATTATAAGTATTACATTCTCGAACTGTCCCTAATGCTTATCATACTTAAATACATATAACAGCTTGAAATGCAATCTATAATCTATTTTTTTTTGTACAACGCAATACTCATTTACGAGGATTTTAAATATTATGCGAGCAGCTCGTTGCGAACTACAGTTTTGCTGTAAACGACGAGCTTTATAATTTTACGAACCAAAATTTCAAACATCAGCACCGCTACGTCATCATCATTAAAATTATTACGTGCTATTCCGCGGCTTCAACTCGGATCCGCGAGATAATGGCATAGATATTAAATCCAACTTTACGCTATATGCAGGCACTTTCGTCACCGATTTGATACCGACATCTAAAATGTATATTTAACGAAAACTTGAAACAAATCCAAGAGTAACTATCTCCTAACTATCGAAAAGCGGCAGAAATCAAAGTCGAGAGGAGGAAAAATCTAAACTGTTAAATAAACACTCGTTGAAAGTCGCGTTCGCCACATTCGAGTGCTCTCTCTCTCTCTCTCCTCCATTCTGCCCTCCGCTCAAAGCAAATTATGAACTAATCCACGAGGGATCGTTTGCTTTTTGCGTCAAGCACCGAGTCGGCTCCATCGACGTCCTCCGATTAAATACACAAGGATTATCACATGAAAGGCATATAGGCCGCTCGGCATGCAGCGACAAACCGCACACATGCGCGTCAGCGTGATGTACGCCTGAATATGTACACAGCCGGTGATATGCTCGAGCATCGGCAGACTCTAGCTAGGGCGAGACTGAGCCACTTGTCGTTTCCCATGACGCCTCGCGGGCAGGGTTGACTAACTAAATACCGAAGTTAGATGGGCCCCGAGGCCAGGGTTAAACGGAGCTTAAAAAGCTTCGAGCGGACGCGGGATGGTGAATATCAGTACGTGAGAGAAGCCGAATCAACTACGAAAACACTTGAGATCACTTAGAGGAATCTCCGCGATGCGTTTACGCCCCGTCGCAATGCGCGACGTCCACAGGTTCACTCTCACCGATCCATCACCCTCCCGGGGATGTTTATGTAAAACAGTAGCCGATAAACGCATCGACCCTCGAGGTAGAAGCGCGATGGAACCACTTGACGCGTCAAAAACGTCAGTTACACATTGGGGGCGGTGCCGCGCAGGGTGCAGCTGGATGGTATCTTCGGGGGTGCTTTTGTCGGAGAGAAAAGACGGGATTGAAAAGCGACCTGAGATATATTAGAATAGAAATTGAGAGCCCACCACGAAAGGTTCGTTATTATTTTGCGAGGGGGGGAATCAGTTTGTTCAGGAATTTAAATGGTTAAATAAACACGATACTAGAACTTGCGACATTTGATTTCGGAATGATTAAATAATTGTTTCCATCGAAACAACTCATCCGCATTGATTTTCCATATCTATTATTTCCATAGCTATTATTCATTCAATACCATTTTTAGCTGAATATGATATTTATTTCTTCTTTTAAACATACTATATAGGAATATAATCAAAATAAAGGTCAATCGCGATTCGCAAGGACATTCATTTATCTTCTTTACCCAAAATCCCCCGAATTAACCCAAGCCTCACCGCGCTGAACTCCGCACGAAGGACGAACGACCACGATCGCCCTTCACGAGCGAGTTATCGTGCGATCGGCGTAAAGCGCCAAAGATAAAGGCGGACGCGAGGCACGGGGGAGGAAAATTGGTCGGCCACCTAGAGCAGGATATCGCCAGGAGGATCGTGGATCCTGGCAAGAGAAGCTCACCCTCTCTTGTGTGCGAACTACTACGGCGGAGACACACCGTTTCGGAACGTCAGCATCGGGACATAATCGATTTGCCGTGAGCTCATCCGTAATTCGCTCCCCGCAGTCAACGCGACGAGAAAGTCTCGGCGGCAAAGGCGTCACCCGAGCGAGAAATTACTCATCGTTCTGATTGAGGTTAATTAATTAGATAATTAAGTCCGCTCCCGCCCGCGACCGACGCGGCGCCGAAGGGACGGAACGTGGCAGGGTACACGATGGGGAACGCGAGCAAGGAACGTCTCGCTTCTTTCCCCCAGGAGAAAGCGGTCGACGTCGATCCTCGTTATAAAAATGCTCCCTCGTTATTACCGGAACCGATCCCACGTCCGCTTCTCTTATCTCATTATCTTAACCGTCTTTTTCCGTGCTCCATTCGTGTTTCGGATAAAGTCACTGATTCTTGTTTAACGTGAAGAGAAAATTTCCACTACAGTGTCACGTTCAATTGGATTTAATTTTCTTATTAGATATAGAAATTATCAAAAAAAAACGATATTCGACCGAAACAGTTAAATAAGATGCAATGAAGATCACGAGAAGCAAAACTAATATACGATCAAATGGGATCGGATTTGGTTGCTTTTGTATAAATGCATCATTATGTAAAGTCTACGAAAATTCTATTAAAGAAATGTGATAAAAATTTCACAGTAATTCCACATGAAATGAACGCTTTTTTAAACTTAGCCCCGAGTCGCATTCATTCGCGCAATTTTCTCTTCTTTCGCTTACTGGTAAAACCGCTGGCAGAGTAAGCCAGCTTACATTTCATCGTACACAGGACATCAGAGCGGAGGAGGATTGGGGGAGGAGTTTAAAGCGAATCTCTGAAAACCCCGCACGTTCGATAAATTTTCATGTCACCTTTATCTGACGGTATTTCACGAGCAACGCCAGGGGTTGGCTTAGCCGCGTATGAAAGAACTCTTTACACATGACACTTAACGAGAATCTCATAATCTTGCGGGGACGCAGCCCTCTCTCTCTCTCTCTCTCTCTCATACCCTTCCTCGTCTCTGACACCCTGAAAATCCCTTTGAAGATCTACCCATTGACGCTCGCGGTTTAATATTCCGTCACGGATATTAATGCTCTCCTAGCAACGACTCCTCGTAAATCAGCAAAGCCCCCATACTGATGCACTTTTCGCTACCGTTTCCCAACATCTCCCACCCAACCTCGCTGCGGTTTCAGCTCTACTTTCACCGGTACCACAGTCTTCCTCGTCTCGTGTGTGAGATCCGCGCGAGGACAGTTGCGTTGATTGAAGATAATGCGAGATACCAATTATTCGTTCGAGTGAAGAATTCATTAGTGAAAAAGAGAAAAACGTAACGACGACGGAGTCTCTTGAGCTGGCCTTTTACGACGAAATGCATCTTCTGTCACCGAGCGCTTACGTCACTGTACTTTGATGTCATTCTAAATGTACGAGATAACGTACGATGTGAAGTATTTTGATTCTAGCAAACTCGTAAAGTATTATTAAAAGATAAAAGACTTGCTAGACAGGAATTAGTGCGCACAACATAGGAATGCGAACTAAATTTAATAAAATTTTTATATCACTATTTTATTAGGAAATCAGAACATTATTCGGAGAGAGAAAAAAAGAAATTTATTTTAATAAAAATAATTGATAATAATTCTCTCTCTATACGAATCTAATAAAAAGTATACAGTTATAGTCTCAAAATTACTATTTAAATAAATATGATCTCATTTTGAAAAAAAAAAACATAGCAAAATAATAAAGCAGATTTTTTAAATGCGACATTTTTATATGGAATTACTTGGCGTATCTATCTTTATAATATGTATATGATTTCTAGAGTTACTTTTTTAAATGATAGCTGCGTTTTCAGCAGACAAATAGAAAGCAGCACAGTAAGTACTCAGCGATTTTTTAATGATTATGTTCTTGCCTTCAATTTTTCGCTGGATCTAAATAAGTGTAGAAACACCGATAATATTAAAGATTCACTGAGTGCTCACTGAGCTGCTTCGTCATCTGAACACAGCTGTTATTTTAAATTTTGAAGTCTCTTTGTTATACATTTTTAAAATCTCCACTCTTCCAGATTTTAAAGTCTCTTTTATCCATTTTCGAAAGTATATTACCGCTCAAATTTATCACGGTTCGTGCATCGAAAGATATTCCACTTCGACTTTCTTCGATTTGGCGTACTTCATGAAGAGAGAAGGATGTTCCCTTCGAGTCTTGTTGTCCCACCGAGCGTGAAATAAGTGTACATACGAAGTCTTCCCGTGTCGGTACGAAGGGGCGCGAGGCTTTCTACGGCGATAAAGCGAATTTGCACAAGGGTAAGAGAAACCGAGGGAAGTATCTCGCGGAAATACGATATTCCCGTGTTCTTTCCTTCAATCGAACGGAGGGATTTAAAAAAAGAGAATCCCTTATGCACAAACCGTTATAAAACCATAAAGATGTAATCGTAGATCGGGATCGTACGCGGTCGTACTACCCTTAGAGAATTATTGCGCGCAGGACTAGCTGAACAAACGTGGCGAGAAAATAAAGTTGTAAGATAGAATGGAATATAAATAAATCGAGCATCCTGCCTGTATTGGTTGATTGAAAAAAGAGCAGTCGAATCCTTCTCTAATTAAGAAAAAGATAATTTATTTATTTTAGCTCGTATAACT